TCGAGGATCCTCCTTGTAAGAGGGCTAGGGCTAGGTTGGTTCCAATCAGGTATCTCAGCTTGTCGTTCGGCCTTCAACTTGTTTACTTCCTTAAGGAGCTGTAGGACAATAGGGTCTTGAGTGAAGTCATGTACCACTGAAGCTTTCTTTCGTAAATCTCCATCTCCTCTTGGAAGTAGGAAGGTTTGATCAAGGGCGTGTGATTTTTCCTTGGACTCGTCATACTGACTTTTAGGACGAGTATGTCAGAATACCTCAGAGTCCCATGTACCTTCATGTTCCTCTGGGACCTGTCGTTCATTCCCTAGATTGGCAGCTGGCCTGGGTCGTGGGAGAGGACCGAGTCTTTCAGAAACCCTTGGGTCATTGATCTTCGAGCATATGTGAAGGGGATTCTCTCGACGTTGCTTTAGGAAGTCTCGACAGTCACGATAAACGGCTTTCGATCCTTCCAACCCTTCTGTAAGAAGGTGTCTTCCTCCACTTCTCCTGCTTCGGGTCTAAGCAGCTGGGTTGAGAGAAGTCTCATGTTGATCAATATTTTGATGATTAGCTCGCTCCTCATCAAGGATACCCATGTCGAATGAAGGTGACCTTCCGTGTTGGGGGGCACCCAGATGATGATTGATGTCCACAAGGGTAACGAGCTCGCGTGTTTGAGTACGCCTAGTTTCGTGGAGTGTCAAAGAGCTTCTCATACTGTTCCTGGATGACCTCATTCTTCATTGCTATCTTGTTGTTCTGAGCTTCAAGCTCATCGACTTTAGCTTGAAGAGCAACCCTATTTCCTTCCTTCTTTCGTTGCTTCGCACTAGGTGCAAGATGGGTGTCATTCTGTGTGTTGTGGCTTCCTTCGCTCCCCATGTTGGAGAGGGATGCTTGGTCAAAAGAGAGTGTACGAATGGTGGAAACCAGCTTGACAAAGCTGAAGAGAATGAGAACAAGTGTCGTTCTCATATACGGCGCCAAATGTTGATGCATAAAATCAATGAGGACTTTGGTACAACAGAAAATGTTAAGTTTGTGACCTTCATTAGATTGCTCATGTCACTAGTGTGGATAAGTATGCAAATGGATAGAGACAGGGAAGCAAACACAAGATGTACGTGGTTCACCCAGATTAGCTACGTCCACAGAGTAGATGAGTTCTCATTAATTGTGAATGGTTTACACATGTACATAGGTTCAAGCTCTCATTTAGTGAGTACTAGTGAATGATTTAGTACAAATGACATTAGGAAATATTGTGAGAGAATGATCTATATTTATATAAGAGAGTTTCTAGTTTCATTCTGACATTGACACGTGTCGTGTTATGATTGGCTTCTGATGTTGACACGTGTTGTGTTATGATTGGCTTCTGATGTCGACACGTGTCGCTCTGTGATTGGCCTTCTGGTTGGAGGGAAACTCTTCTGGGTCCTTAACGGTATAACGTTGACCGGTGCTCAGTAGTTTCGGGATTGGTCAAGTATGGTATAAACACTAGTGATCTTATCTAATTCATTGATCTTCAGCCCAAATCACCCATATCGACAATTCCTGTCGATATCTTATTTTACTGTGCATATCGGGCTCGCCTAAAACTGGTTTCACAATAAATAGATTCAACTACACAAAAGATCCTTTCCAACTACCCTCATTTCTATACTTCCAATATGAATAATGAAATTCCAACCACATCAACATGAATGATGCACAATTAATGTCATTTCATCTTTCGTATCACAGTATATTCTCAACGAATAACATTCCAGCAATAATTCCATAACCAATAACAAGTAAACACTTAGAAGCAATTAGCCAAATAACATCCAATCACATTAAATAACCAAAACGAATATAATATTTCACGAAATTTAATAGAATCAATCTCTGTAAAAGTCTGCCTTATTTCCCCTACCTAGTCTCCAAAGCATTGCACCAACTCTATATTACAAGAGTGCACCACCATTGTGATCAATTCCCTGCTGCAGGCTGACATCCTAAGCAGGAAGATAAACACGAATATTTCAGCACCCTTATCTCTAATTCTATTTGATTTCTTAATCTCTTCCTTATATTTGTCTTCTCTCATATATATATAAACATATACAAGTATGTATATATATATATACACACACCAATCTCTACGTAATGCATGCATTGCATGCTATCTTCATCTCTCTCTCCGACAACAACTTAGTTGCAATTGGATGGTTTTGGCGGTCTCAAAGGCGGACCAAGATTGTCTGCCCTCCCACTTACCATCCACTCTTACTTTTCTAACCATTGATTTCATGTTTAGTTAATTTAATGCTTTAGATTTTGCCACCTCACCAATAAATCCAAACCATCTTTAAACCTTTCCAACTAGATCTACAGCCTTCCTCCATCTCTCCATCATGTCCGAGGGTTCAATTTTCCGGTGTCTAGCAAATGCCTCGGTAAAGCTTCCCGTCTGCTTCCTCACATCGGACGGATCAACATCGTAGAAGACCGGTAGACTGTTCCCCTACCCACTGTAAAAAATCTCCATAGATTCTGCCCTTGGCCTCTCTGAGGACTTCCATCAAACACCTGGCAGGCACATTTGGGGTACTCAGTAGTGGAGCAAAGATGGTTGGTGTATCGGTTTTGATAGGGTTGATGGTAGCAGTATATTTCGCGTTGTTTGCCTGCCTCAAAAGCTTTGGTTTCACAGTGCTTTCCATACCATTTTTGTATGCCTCTTTGGTTTCAGCTTTGGTTTCACTTGCTGCTCATCCATTGATAGAGCTTCCCGTGCTGTTACGAAAGAACCCAGATGGGAGTTTCCCCACATGGTCGATTATAATGTTCAGCCCCTATTTGTATTTCGTCCGCTTCTTCTCGGCATTGCGAAGGTTGCATCGTAGGGAGGCTCCTTACACTGAAATCTCTGAGGGTTTGTTCGTTGGACGGTGACCAAAATAAAACCCCAAATTCCCTTTTTTTTTGTTAATTTAAAAAATTATTAATTCGTCAAGTTTCATCTCCAAATGTCCAAGCTTTCCTCTTTTTCTGCTTCTTCAGCCTCTGAACCCAGGTACCCTTTTGAGCTTTTTCCCTCTATTTTTTTGGGTTTAATTTCTTTCAATTTTTTGTTGCTTTAACATGCTTGAATTTTGATTTGATCCGTCCCATGTGAGGAAGCAGACGGGAAGCTTTGCCGAGACATTTGCTAGACACCGAAAAACTGAACCCCCGACATGATGGAGAGATGGAGGAAGGCACTTGCAGAGGTTGCAGATCTAGCTGGAAATGTTTAAAGATGATTTGGAGTTGTTGGTGAGGTGGCAAAATCTGGAGCATTAAAATAACTAAACATGAAATCAATAGTTAGAAAAGTAGGAGCAAATGGAAGAGGATGGTAAGTGGGAGGGCAGACAATCTTGATCCCAAAGGCAAGGATAAATTGGTGTCCTAAAATCTTTCCACGCAACCACTTTTTGATGAAGACTAAGCAACCTATACTGCTTATTCATTAAACCTATAATCACACGTGTAAGAAATATAAGTGACTAAGCACTTAAACATATCCACCCCTGCCACCTCCAGGTTCCATGTTGCACCATTAATTACCTATAAAATTAGCATCTAAAACTCTAAATAAATATTTATTTTAATTTTAAAATACGGGGTCTTACAAGTGCTTCCATTAGACTGTGGACGTGAACTGGACGCCTTGGTTGCCATAGCCATAGGGGGTACTGCCATCGTAGTCTTTGTTCCCATCATAGTGGCATTCCTCTGGGATTTTCGTTGTACCAAATTGAAGCATTCTTCAATTCCAGGGATAGGTTTCATCCTTAGAATTTCACTTCGAACTTGGTCAAAACCGCTATCTAATCCAACGAGAAATTCGTACACCCTATCCTTTGCAACTTATTCTTTCCAAGTTTTCAGGTTCGCTCCACACACCATACGAAGAGGACGTTTTGTCCAGGTCCTGCCAAACGCCCTTTAGTTCGGTGCAATATAGATTGATTGGACGACTGTCTTGTCTCGTTCGTGTAGCCTTGCACCAGAGTTCATAGTATTGTGACTCATCAGAACCATCATAGAACATCTGGGTAACACTCTCCCAGATATCTTTAGCCGTGGGTAAATCTATAAAGAGGCCAAGTAGGTGTGGTTCCATGATTTTGAGCAACCACCCGCGCACGATGACATCTTCAATTGACCACTTTACATATCCTAGATCATCTTCATCAACAACCGGGATTTTACCCGTTAGGTAGCTATGCATCCCGTGGTGATTCAAAGTGAGTCTACCAATGTCAATGCCATTCCGTTCGAGTTTCGGTTGAGCGACTCGAACTTCAAGGTTTGGTCCAAGAGGATGGATGGTTCACGCTTGGGGATATGGCGCCAGCTTTTTCTTCCGCCATTGCACTGCCAATTGTAGCCTTGTTGCTTCCAAGGGCTACGAGACTTTATTTTTGGGTTCAAGATTTGAAGAACCAGAGTTTTGATGGCTAGGGCATGTATGGTGTTTAAGGTTTTTCGACAAGAGTCAGGTTCAAACCTGCTCTGGTACCAAGATAAAATTCTAGGGTTTTGGTAAATATTGTTCTAATATTATTCTTCTCTCATAGAGGAATATATAAACTTACACAATCTCCTATAAATTAGGAAACAAGGATACCAATTACATAATTATATGCCCAAAATATATCTACATTCCTTATTCTCCAAAGTTGACTCACGCAACACAGGGTACAGACAACATTACCAAACCTGTCTAAACTAATCACCCAAACAAGCACTTGAAACGACTCACGGAAGGTTTTTATTATTGGGCTTAAACTACTAATACCGGGCCAGTAGCCTCCCAAGACATGTGAGCATTCTTGAGTCCAAACTCCAAAGTGGAGAAGAGAAGAAAACTGATAAGTGTCATCCAGTAGGATTGGATTACACGAGCCACCCAAAACCACCACGTGGCCACGAACAACCCCTTCTTCCCTTCTCCTCTGTTGTTTTTTTGTTGTTGAAAATATTCCTTCCTTCCTTTTTCCTTGCCTTGGGAAGGGAAAAAGGCTAACGGCCTCGAAACGAGCTACAGCAAAGAAAAAGGGAAGAAAGAAAAAGAAACGAAAGAGAAAGAGATGCTGAGCAGAACCACAACAACAGTGATAGCTGCGGCTTCTGCGAAGAGTTCCCAGTTGTTTGGGTTTGGGATCAACAACAGTAGCAGCAACAATCTCTGTTGCACTCGTACTACTACTACTCGTACAAGTAATCTCTCATGGAACTTCATCAACAGCAACAAGCACAAGTGTAGGGAGTCAAGAATGGAGGAGAGTTTCACCACCCGGGCCTCCGCGCAGCCTCTCACGAATGCCGATGACCTCATTGACTCTGTAGAGACCTTCATCTTCGACTGCGACGGTCCGCCTTCTTCAACTTGTTTATTTTCTTACGTTGTTGAATTGAATGTTGATCCAATGATCTTCTTCTTTGTTTGTTTCATACCTATAAGAATGTAGTAGTGGACATTAATCCATCTGTTAGGATTTGAGCACATGAAAATTTATTAATAATATTATATGAGACTATGAATACACATTTGTATTGATTTGATTCCCTCCTAAGTTCCTAACCATTTTGTCTGATTACCTTTTAAAAAGGAAAATCCAATTTATTCAGAACCAAGTGTTGCGTTAGAAAAATTGGAGGGAGGGAACCATCGAACGATGATATGATTTGATAGGAATAGGATTACTCATGAATGTTCCATTAGAATTTTAATAATGTTTGTCTTACAGTCTTATGTTATTTATCTCTGTCGTGGATGGTATTGGTATTGCTCCATTAAATAATCTTTCAACTCAGCACCCAACAACTGCAGGTGTTATATGGAAAGGAGATAAGCTCATAGACGGTGTCCCCCAAACTCTGGATATGCTACGGTCTAAGGTCGGTCTGTCTTTCTGGCTGCCAATGGAGCCACCTATAATGTATTTCAGTATTTGTAGTTTTGTACATATTCATATCATAGGGCCAGCAAATGTAATGTAGCATGATATGGGGAGATAATTTTAAGAGGCTAGCATTGTTATGTGGCCTCAAACCACTTGCATATTGTCTTTTCCTTCAGGGCAAAAGATTAGTTTTCGTTACCAACAACTCAACAAAGTCTAGGAAGCAGTATGGTAAAAAGTTTGAGACGCTTGGTCTAAATGTCAATGAGGTCAGTGTGACAGTGTGCCATTTTTCTCTTTCTACGCTCACAGATTTAGCAACTCGGTAATTCTAACCACACTTGAACAATTTCAGGAGGAAATTTTTGCGTCATCTTTTGCTGCTGCTGCTTATTTGAAGTCCATTAATTTCCCAAAAGATAAAAAGGTAACCTGCGTGCCTACTTGGTAAAAGTGAATATCTTGTTTCTGTTCATTTGCCTACAAGTGGAGTTTTTGTGAAGGGGAATGGTTTGCATCATATTGCATGTTATCTTCTTCATTGTTATTTCTGTTAGAATTTTATAAAGATTTCCAATATTATTTCGTCTGATATTTTATTTGCATATAGCCACAGTATTATATTAAGGTTATATGTTATTGACATGTAAGAAGTTGTGACTTTATTTCCAGTTACTGGCATCTCATGATTAACACTACAAATAGCTAGCGCATTCTAATCATGAATATTGATGATAATACACTGATGATTCGGTGTTTTATAGGTATATGTGATTGGTGAGGAAGGTATCTTGAAGGAGCTTGAGCTTGCTGGATATGAGTACCTTGGTGGCCCAGTAAGTATTAAGCTAGAAACCGCATAATTGTCAGTACATTGCAAGTGTTTATTCTGTATCCTAGTCACTGAAATCAAGTGATGTGTTATTCTTTGAGAGATAGAATGCTCCTGTTATATACGTATGATGCGTGGTATATAATGCCTTCTTTTTCTTACAGGAAGATGGTGGGAAGAAAATAGAGCTGAAGCCTGGATATCTGATGGAGCATGATGAGAGTGTATACTTCTGTCCTTTCTTGCATCATAGAACTGAGTTTGTTGTTGGGTTTTTAGAGATAAAAATACAAGTAGAACTTTCTCTCAAAGATTTGAAGCTTCTGCATTCCTTTTTGGAACCTTATATTGGAAATTTTGTTTGTTCATTGTTTTCTAGGTTGGAGCTGTTGTGGTTGGATTTGATCGAAATTTCAACTACTACAAAATTCAGTAAGTTCTGTTCATTGTTGTGTATGTCAATGTCAATGCATTTGTGTTGAAGATACTGCAAGTTTTTATATTTTACTTTTAGTTACAAGGCACTGTCCTCGTCCTTGTTATTAAAATGTGAGGAATCATTGCTGCTTCCAGTACCCTCTCTTTTAGATTCTCCTTCTACCCCACATAGTTGCCAGAAGTTAACCGTCTTCTTTTTCTTTGGGATGTATTTGTATTTGGGCCTATATGCAAATATTCTGTTACAGTCTTACAGAGAATTCAATGGAAAGTAATATATATCGTACTTTATCGAGTGCCAAATCATATTAACATAATGATCTTATTATATATGAACTTATTACATGTATTGCATTTGATCTTCCCTGTGTCAGTTAATATTATATGATGGTTATGTGATGGTAGGTATGGGACACTCTGTGTACGTGAAAACCCTGGATGTCTTTTCATTGCTACAAATCGTGATGCTGTCACTCATCTCACAGATGCTCAGGAATGGGCAGGTTCATTTCTTTCTTCTCCTTGTTGCACTTTGTGTTTTAATTACATTATTCTCAAATGCAGCGTTACGCTGCAAAACATTTGAAGATTTTTCTGATTGGAAAACTTATTTATTAGGGGTAGCAGTCTGCGTTCCTTGCACTCGTTCTGTTGTACTTACGCTTTCATATCTCCTTGATCATATTCAATTATCAGGGTACAAAAATAAGGGACAGGAGATACGAGTGTGAAAATTTTCACCTTTTAGGAGATAATAGTGAAAAAGCATATCGGAATCTACTGAACTTGTGAATCTTCTGAAAGTTGAATCAGATTATTCATGCTTCATTTACTGATACATGAGTTAGTGATAATTACTTGATTATATGAGACTTAAACTTCAGAGTTTACTAGGAAACCCTTGGATTTATGGACCTAAATATACCTGACCGAATGGGTTGTTACTGAAATGATGAAGCAACTTCTCTCTCAATAGCTACTACAATTTGTACTATACTGCAGGTGGTGGTTCAATGGTTGGTGCTATCCGTGGATCAACTCAACGTGAGCCATTGGTTGTGGGAAAACCCTCAACTTTTATGATGGACTACTTAGCAAATGAGTAAGTCAAATGCCTTATTTTATCTTGAGTAGCATGAGTGCTGTTGATCTTGAGCAAAGACCGACCATATTATGATGAGAAGTCTTATGCTACAGAACAAGGTCACCTCTCAATGCGCACAGCGTATAGTGTGATACAGATAATGCTCTTTAGGTTTGCGATATGGTCTTCATTGGTTTAGCATTTAATATATTGGGTTTAATCAATGACAGATTTGGCATCCTGAAGTCACAGATTTGCATGGTTGGGGACAGATTAGATACTGATATTCTGTTTGGACAAAATGGTGGTTGCAAAACTCTTCTTGTTCTCTCGGGTAACCAAACTCTGCATTGTTTGGGCCAAGTATATTTCATTTTGTGATATATTTAAGCTAAGTAAGGCTTTTCCGTTTTGTGTGATAGGCGTCACCACCTTACCAGTGCTTCAGAGTCCCGACAACTCCATACAACCAGATTTTTACACGAACAAGATTTCAGACTTTTTGTTTCTCAAGGCTGCAACTGTATGATTATGTTACCCCTAAAACCAATCTTGTGCTCATCTGTCATTATTTGCCTGTGCCAGTCATAACTTCGATATTATTAATGCCCATGTAAATTTTATTTTTCCAACTGGATATAGGTTTCAGATATCTATGAATTTGTGAAATTGATTTATCTATGAACATGTGTATCTATATATTGACAGATAGATATAGAGATATAGTTTCTTTGTTTCCATTATCCTGCATATTATTGGCAACCAAATCAGCACATAGCTGCAGGCTGCAGCATCCGTATCTCACGTGACAAAGGGCATAAGTGACTGCGTGTCTATTTGTGGTGAAACGAGATTCCTAGTCTCCTTTCCCTCTTTTCCGAATCAATCTACCACTCATTTTTATTTTGCTTACATTTTTTAAGTTATTTTAGTTATCAAATAAAAAACCCAATTAAACTTGTTATTTTTATTGTTTAGTTAGGGTTCACATAAAGCTAGTAATATGTTGAGGTCTGATCAATCCCTACGGTTCGACACTCTTACTTATGCCATTATATTATCCTTACATTTGCAGTTGGAAAGAACACAAGTTTTAGCACCCTTACCAGAAATATGTGTTATTTTCTAATTAATAACGTTGAGAATATCACAATTGTGTATCACATTTGCTGCCATAATTAGCAGAGAGGGAGCTGGTAGAGTTCCTTTTTTTTTGGTTGGGATATGACACTTAGAAAAGTACCATAATATGCACGATGGGCAGCCAAAGTGGTTACTATAGAGGAGGATTCTCTCCTCTCATCATCTCTTTCTCATTCCCTTTCCTCATATTTGAACAGTTATGGTTAAGCCACGTCAACATCTTATATTGATATTTTTTTATAGAAAACATGAGACAAAAAGTAATATGTGAGAAAATGAAAGGGAATGAGATGAAAATAAAAGAGCAGAGAATCCTATCCCGCTTCCTATATGTCCAAGCACATAAACATAAATTCCATTGTTCAAAATGTGAAGAACTCGTCTTCTTTATAGCAGATAAAATTATAGTTCATAAACTAGTTAATTTGATTGTATTGTGTTTGCTCGATTTATTGTAATACGACCAAGCGCCTCCCTCTTTATTGAAACCTCTAAACATTGTAATATACTATATATAAAGTAAACAGTACTGATAGTGTTTCGTTAAAATTCTCTAAAAGAAGATTACATTTTTCTATTTAATACAATGATATATGTTTATATCAAAATATGAGATAATTTATTAATATCAATCTCGTTATCTACAATAATCGAACTTAAAACCTCCGTCGCATAATAATACAGTAATAAATGACAATTTACATAAGAAAAGAATGCATGGTGATTTGATTTATCTTTTGTAGTTTCAAAATAAAAAAGAAAAGAAAAATGTGACATTTAATTTTCCCCCTAACCCAGTCATCATGAAAAGCAATATTTTCCTCTCTCGATTTCCATTTCCTCCGAATCCCTTCTCCTTTCTTCTTTCCCTTTTCTTCAATCAACCAATCAACCACAGAACACGCTCACATTCTCTTTCCCCCTTTCACCTTCCCTTCTCCTTTGATTGCCATTTCTGTCACTTCCTCTCTCTTTCTCTAATCACCCCCGACTCCCCTGTTCTATGCAAATTAGGATTGATCCCAATTAGGGTTTTGATCCTTTTCATCAGAAAACCAAGAAATGGATTCGGACGAAGAGTTCGACATGCTCGACGCCAACGATGACGACGACGATTTCTACAGTGGCGGCGATGATGATGCAGCTGCCGCTATGGACAGCGACGACGCTGGAGTTGCAGATTACGAGTTCATCGACAACGACTCCGACGATTCCAATGATGTCACCTCGCATCGTTACCAGGTGGCTTTTCTCTTCAATTATCACAATTTCATATCTTCTCTTTTAGTTTCTTCGAAATGGTTTTGGTTAATTGATTTTTTATTCTTATTTTTCTTCTGGGTTTTGAAAGTTGAGCCCTTTAGTACATGTCCAAATGTTAAATATGCTTAATTTTATATTGGGTCTACTCATAAATTTTCTTCTTTTTGTTGTATTCGGCGTTGCGGTAATGTTAGTGTTGCTGATTTTGATCTTAGGTTTCATTGATTTATCCGAAATGTAAATTTAGTTCGTGTTGTGGTAATGCCTTAAAAAGTCTGAGCCTTTACTTATGGTGGAAATGTTGATTCTGCTAGAATTATAGCTTCGTTATAATGTTAATATTCCTTGATTTGATATTTGGGTTAGTTGGGCTAGAGTTACTATGGAAGGATTTCCATGGGTGCTGCTATTCTTAACAAAAAAAGAGTTTGCATAGATTGTTGGTTAATTCTATCGGGTGCCTTTTTCTTTTGTTACTTGATTTGTTTTTTTTTTTTTTTTTTTTTTTTTGGTTCGGGCCTCGGCCCCCCCCCCCCTCCTAGGGGATTTTAGCTGATTTGTTAAAGTCAGGCACTTTGGGTGGTGGACAATGCCAATTATGTTTAGAGAAATTTGGTATTTATTTGATTGGTAGCTGACCATGGTTGAAGTAATTGGTTTTTTTCATCTTTGTGGCTCCTTTGGAGATTGCACTGTTTCGATGAACTCCATGGATGTGGTAGCCTTTCTCTTGAAGCATTTGGATCTCGGAAAAAGTAAAGTTAAAATATGATGCATATTGCAGAATGTTGTGTGCTCTCATTGGTGTGTCTAAAGATGGAAAAGTCTTTTAGTTTAAGATACATACTAATTGAAGTTTTGTACCTTATAGTTATTGTACATGAAATTTGTTAGTGGTTTTCTACATGCGGTTCTAACCTTTGGAAATTTTTAATGAACTCTACTATGCTGTGATATCTTTGCTTTATTTTCTCAATGTGTATTTACTGAAGCACACTTCGATGCTTGTCTGTAGGCAAAAATAAGTTTATTGGTTAGTTGTGGCTCCTATTATTGTTGTAATTTCGTTTTGTTTTTATTGCAGCAAAACTACAATGTTTTGACAGAAGCTGACATTCGTCAGCATCAAGAGGAGGATATTATGAGGATATCTACAGTGCTCTCTATTCCAAAATTTGCAGCTAGTATACTGCTCCGCTACTATAATTGGTAAATTGTTGTCTCCAATATTTCTTTTCTTTGCTTATTTTGCTAATTTCTTTACATGCTGACATGGATTGCCTTCACTCTTAGTAATGGGTACCTGGGTTATGTGACCCTAGTTTAGTTTGTCAGATAATTTCCACTATACCTTCCCCAATTTGTTTACGATGCAATTATTTGATAGTTTTATATCATGGTGCATTGTTTTCCAATTTGTTTTGCCATGCATTTATTTGATAAGTTTTATACCACGGTGCATTGTTTTTCTGGATTTTCTAAAGAATATATACTTCCTTTATACTCACAGGAGTGTCAGTAAAGTACACGATGAGTGGTTTGCAGATGAAGAAAGGGTTCGCAGGGCTGTTGGCTTGCCAGAGAAACCAGTTGTTGAATATCCTAATGCTAGTGAAGTAAGCAGTCCATGCTTTCAGATGTCATCAATTTTCAGCCTTTTTTGCTTCAAAGTTTTTTTTGCCTTAGACCGGTATATATGGCTAACAACTTTGATAACATGGTCTTTTTTATAACAGCTTCATTGTGGGATTTGTTTTGAGATCTATCCTCGTGATAAGATGCATGCTGCAGCTTGTGGTCATCCTTTCTGTTCCTCATGCTGGGCAGGTTTGATACAATGTCATATATTTGTCTTTTTTCTTCCATGGAAAAGTTGAACTTTTAGTGTAGTGTGGCATGATTTTTTCACTTTTCTATTATCACCAGGGATGCATTTATAAAAAAGAATGCTGTAATATAAGAAAAGTATGTCCAGCAGGTTAGTCAAACTTTTGTTTATAGGATCGTCAATACATGTGGATCTCATGTATTCATGCAAGACCCGTGTTGATGATTTTACGGTAGCACTTAAAAGTCAAGACTGGTACTCCTTTTGTCATCATTTAGTGGGATTTGTTTTCCCATCATATATAGCATTTTCTAGGACCTATACACGCACACACATATTATGCATAAATAACATGAGTCTTGATAATGTGATGTGTTATATGTGATCTAGTTCTGTTTCTTGTACTACTGATACAATTTTTGTATTGATTTTTATGTCTCTGTCATCTAATATCCAGAAATCTGAAGTTTACAAATATATATCATTTTTTCATCTTGTTATTATGTTTCCAAATGAGTTTTGAGTTCTGTAAAACGTTCTTTTATAATTTCCATGTCTTGTAGGCTATATTAGCACAGCCATTAATGATGGCCCTGGATGTTTGATGTTGCGCTGTCCGGATCCATCTTGTAGTGCCGTTGTTTGCCAAGATATGATTAATGATTTGGCTTCCTATGAAGAGAAGGAGAAATATTCTCGCTACTTTATTAGATCTTATGTTGAAGACAATAGGAAGGTAATCCCACGATTGGATCCTTGATCACAATGATCAGCAATTTGTCTGTTCTCCCAAAGTAAATGCAAAACCTTAGTCCTTATATCTTCTTACTTGCCAAACGCTTAATAAATTTATGGTTATAGTGATTAAAAACAAGTAGATAGTTTGCAAGTTGACAGTGTAGCATTAAAGAGCATCTCCTATTTGGTACTTGTGTTTTTATGTAAACTAGAAGTATATGGGCGAGAATGGTCTTGCAGAGGCAACTTAGAAGTAAACTTAAAGATTGCTTCATATCTGCTGATAAGATGATTACAGAAAAATATTTATGTTTTTCATTACCTTAGCCTAGTTGTTCCGTACAACTAGGGCAAGGTAATGCATGACTTTGTGAATTCTATGTAAGGTTTTAAACATATATTTTGCATTTGAATGTTGTTTTTTACTAGCCTTCATTCAACATTTTGTTGACCATTTTATTTCATGGATGTTTTTCTGTAGACAAAATGGTGTCCTGCTCCAGGCTGTGATTATGCTATAGATTTTATTGTTGGTGGTGGAAGCTATGATGTTACCTGCCGCTGTTCATATAGCTTTTGCTGGAACGTAAGTCTCTTTGAATTCTTCACATATAGTTTTTATCTTCATTGAAAATTGCATGTATGTGCATTTTGTATGGTGTGCGGGATGAAGATATGATAAGATGCGGTTAAGTGAGAAATCTCCAAAACTCAGAATATGATTGTGTTGAAATGATACGATGTGGCTTTTTTTTTTTGTTTTTTTTTTAATTTTTTTTACTTCTTTTTTATATTTGTGCTTTGTTATGTGTTGCATATGAGCCCGTAAACGTTGTACGGTATCACTTGGTGCTTCATATGAAGTTATCCTGTTCTTCATAGGTGCCTGATTGCATTTACATCTTGTGAATTTGACCTTGCAGTGTACTGAGGAAGCTCACCGTCCAGTTGATTGTGGCACTGTGTCAAAATGGATAATGAAGAATAGTGCAGAATCTGAAAATATGAATTGGTACGTAAGACATTAGTTATTGGCGGAATAGTACCTTAAATTAGGAGAACAGTGATCAGATGTGAACATTGGACTACTCCATGTCCCATAGGATGATGGGAAAATAATCTATGTGCTGATGCCAAATAATGTTCGATGAAAGCATGGCCAGTCCCTACCATAATAATTGCATGACCTGTCTAGCCATGTTATCCTGGATATACACTTTGATATCATATCGAAACGACAATCCTGTAGCTAGGTAGTGCACAAATGCCAATGTTGAAGTGTGGGATGGTGCCAGCCAAAAAAAAAGTTCCGTAATGGCCACCTTAGTGTGGACTTTATAAGTTGGGAGCTGAATTTTTGATGATTCCCTAAAATATTGGAGTAAAATTTCTCAATGTTTGGGTGTTATGCTTATAGTGTGGACAAAACTGTGCCTATTCCATTTCCTAGTTCAAACTATTTTGATGGGAATAGCCGCAGAAAGATGGGCAATCTGGGTTTACATCAGGGATGGATTAAAAGAAGACTTACGTCTAAAAATTCTTTGTTTTGAATGATCAAATGAATACTTCACAAACCCTGATACCATTCCTAATAACTTAAAATTCTTTGAGGGCCTATCCCTCTCAGGTACGCATGTCATCAATAGGTCTGGTTATTTACTATCATGTATAACTCCAGTACAGCAGAAACAGTGGCTTTACCAAACATTTTTTTTATATTGTTTTTAGCCCAAAGTACTAAGTTATATTGTTGATGGATTTCAGGATATTGGCTAATTCCAAGCCCTGCCCGAAGTGCAAACGGCCGATTGAGAAAAACCAAGGCTGTATGCATATCACTTGCACACCACCTTGTAAATTTGAGTTTTGCTGGTAAGCATTTTAGTAACATTACCTATTGAATTTTGATTCCTGTGCATCGTAATCATCTGAAAAGTGATTTATTATCTTGCGCTCCTTTTCTAGCTTTTTACAAAGGCATTACTTATGTTACCACCTTGTAAATTCGAGTTTTTCTGGTAAGCATTTTAGTAACACTACCTATTGCATTTTGATTCCTGTGCACCCTAATCATCTGAAAAGTGATTTATTATCTTGCGTTCCTTTTCTAGTTTTTTACAAAGGCATTACTTACTTATGTCGAAGCTGGATTTCATGTCATCGTGTATGTTGTTTGAACACTATCTGCTCAAAAAGAGGGAAAAAAAAAAATCTTTCTAGAACACTGATACGTGTAGTAAATGCTTTCAGGCTTTGCCTCGGTGCGTGGTCGGATCATGGTGAAAGGACGGGTGGCTTTTATGCATGTAACCGTTATGAGACAGCAAAGCAGGAGGGAGTGGTATGTTAATGCAGTTTGCATCTTTATTATGATGGTCGCGTATTTTCTCGAGCTATTAACTCAGTTTGTGCCATATTATATGATTCTTATCATATTGTTATATACAGTATGATGAGTCAGAGAAGCGAAGAGAGATGGCCAAGAACTCTCTGGAGAGGTACACTCATTATTATGAAAGATGGGCAACCAATCAATCGGTAAGTACCTAGTTTGCCTATGAATTTTGTAAAACTGATGTCACTCAGACATCAGTCTTCTGACGTTCTCGTGTATGCTCATAGTTCTGACGTTAACTTTCTAAAAGGCTTCCTTCCAAATGAGCCAGGTTCAGTTAACTTATTTAGCTATGTTTTACCTTGATAATAAACAGTCATACATACATAATGTGACTCTGCATGAACACGTACAGAAGACGGAGTTTATATATTTCCTTTACATTGATGATTTCAATACTTGTTATAAACTTATAGGCAATAAAACTGTTGACAAACAATCATTGTGCTTGCTATGATCAGTTTTCTGAAGTATTGATGTTTGCTCATTGTTGGAAATGTCAATTAATTAAACTAGTTGTTGGATTTTTATAAAAAAAGTTTTGTGGCTTTCTTTGACTTATTTGCTTACTTAACGTTTATCTCCTTGATGCTTTAGCAGATGCATTCTTTGGCTTAATGTCAATTACTTGACATTTATCATAGGCTCTATGTGCATGTGCAAATGCTTTTTATTTTGTAAATTGATGCTTTAGCAGTTTCTATTATCTTCTTTTTTGGGGGTATAAACAGTATCTATAATTTCAAAATACATGTTTTTCATGACAATCTATGATCCTTAAATAGTTTATCTTAATGTCTAATTTTGTTTCGTTTCCCTTCACTGTAGTCCCGGCAGAAAGCACTTGCAGACTTGCAGCAGATGCAAACTGTGCACGTAAGTAAAACTTTTTACTATCAGCTTTCTTGGTTAGTGATTCTGGTATAGCTGATTGATGTTGATATCAATTGTGTGGTTTGTGTTCCTGGGTTTATGCTTAGTGCAGTGTATTTTCTATATATACAATTTTATCCTTCAGTTTCTAATGTTTTTTGTTCAGTTTTTTTAAGTCATGTATACTGTCGATGTTATTGTAGCTTGAGAAGCTGAGCGATACCCAGTGCCAACCTGAGTCACAGCTGAAGTTCATTACAGAGGCCTGGCTACAGGTATACCACAAGTTACCACACTTTTCTACCAAGGAGTCTATTGCTTTTTCTTATTAAATTTTCGCTATTTTCAGATAGTTGAATGTAGGCGAGTACTAAAATGGACATATGCTTATGGATATTATTTACCGGAGCATGAACATGCCAAGAGACAGTTCTTTGAGTACTTGCAAGGTTTGTCATTTTCTCAAGCTCGAAGATAGACAATACATCATGTTGCTTTGTCGTCATTAATATTTGTTTCTGCAGGTGAAGCTGAGTCTGGGTTGGAACGGCTTCATCAATGTGCAGAAAAGGAGCTACAAGTTTACCTCAATGATGAGGACCCATCAAAAGATTTCAATGAGTTCCGCACAAAACTTGCCGGATTGACCAGGTTATGTTCCACTAAATATATTACACTAAAGTTTTCTGATTGGATAAGTTGACTTGGGTTACAATGATATAGCTTTTCAGTTTATTGATTTATGGTTCAATTTCAATGAAAACAGTGTGACTCGAAACTACTTTGAAAATTTAGTTCGAGCTCTGGAGAATGGTCTATCAGACGTGGATTCCCATGGTGCCTGCAGCAGGACAGTAAGCTCAAAGAGTTTGGGAGGTTCAAGTAAGGGAAGAGGTGGGAGGGGCAAGGCTGCAACATCCAGGTCAAGTAGTTCCAGTAGAAACATTGACGATTTAGGCCACTGGTCCTGTGAACATTGCACCTTTGCAAATGTCAGGCCGGCCAGTGTGTGCCAGATGTGTCAACAGCGCCGGTAAACTTGTTTCCTATGAAAATTGGCCTAATTGGTTGTGGAGGCCTTGGTTTTGCCTCTTTGGTTGGCAGATTGCAGCGGAGAAATAGCATGGCGGGTTGTGAGGGAAGGGTTACTTACCTTTAGAATTGCAAGTGCGAGGAGGATGCAGAAAATATCAAGGGTGGGAGGAAGAGACTGTCTTGCTTGTGTATTGGAACATGAGCTGTATATAGTTCCTGTTGTTTGTCTAGCATTTCCGTGGCTGTCTTGATTCATGCAAATGCAAATGCCTTGGACCTGTAATTTTCATGTCACTAATCAGTTGCTGATAAAATTGTAGCAAAGTTGGAATCTTTAAAAAAGTGGGTGGTGGTGGTGGTGGTTGAAACTTGTAAGAGTAAACTAGTCGCGGGGGGACTGGTAATTGCATTGGCCCCTGCTGCACCTGCACAAATCGAATAAGTTATGTACTAATTATCTTCCTCTTTTTTCTCATCTTGAATGCGAATGAACGAGCGATGTCCCTTTCGGGTTTCCTTTTGCTCCAATTCCCCTCCCTGAATTTCTATGAATGGCGCTGCTGCTACTCTTTAAATTCCATTGTTCTCTGTTATCATTGTGCAAGTGAAAGCCAAATATATGACCATTCAGATTTATCGGCTTTGTTGTAACTGAATTCAGATTAACAGACGGTGCAAGAATCTCTAATCTTCACGTATCAAATAGTATTGACAAGGCTAATTCTTTAGCAAGTTCACGTAACATACACGATGCAAAAGAGAGATGAATTGCAAATCCCACATCAGTAGCAAGCAAGATACAAAAAGAACAAAAGTATCCCTTGCGTAGTGTAGATTAGCTAGGTGGGGGCCCAGGGCTGCCTGCTTTCCCAACACAATTTCTCAAATCGCAGGTACAAGTCATCTCCAACCCCATACGTACAAATGCATTTGCCATGGCAGACGTCTAAGGCTCAAAGCATCAATTTTCCGGTTGTTTTGTTTCGTCACCTGATCCAAACCCAAGTTGCATAAATGACTCCGCCCTAATCTGGTTACCAGCGAGTAACAAGGAATGCTGATACACCATGAAGAAATGTGAGACAAATTTCGCTTCCTGCAATGCACATGTGGTATTTATACACTCCTGGTTTTGTAGGCAGTATAAGCCAACAGTAGTGGAATTGTTAGGCTATATCCTGGAAAATGGAGAACGGGATTCATCTCATATGCTTTGACGAGAGTCCTGCAATTCTGCAATCCAGAGACAAACGAAACATAGAAACCAAAGTAAAACATACATTAGTACAATATGCAATTACAAAGAAAACACAAGATGCATCTTGATTTGTTCCCTCATACTCATTACTTCAAAACGGTTCCCAGGACGACAGAAGAAAAGAATTTAGTTTAGAGACCCCGCAACGTTTCAGAATGGTGGTTGCAAGGTTCCAAACACTTCTCTTGCCTTATCTTAAGAAGTCTGGAAAAGTATTCACATATTTATGACATGTATGTAAGAGCAGGAAAAACCACAAAGAAAAGATGTGGAAGAACCACCACCATAACATCTGGAGATCCAACGTACTTGTGTTTTCCGTTTTGATTGAAAGATTTAACCACCCACCCCATATAGGTCATGTATCCTTTATCCTTTCCGTCTGTGAAAACTTGCCCAATAAACCAGGGGAATAATATAAGGTAGAATAAGTATCCTAAGAAACCAAACCATGCTACGGGAAGCTTGCAGAGCTCCTGAAAAACCAATCCTATAGCATTTACAAAGCCCTTATTCTTGTAAGTGAAATGTCTAACTGAGAAAATAAGGATAGCTTTTGGAATAAGGAGAACACAGAGTATGAAATATACAGCACACCAGAGCATTGGGTAATACAAGGCAGCCCATTGACAACCCATGACCATAAATTCCTTCCAAGTCCAAGAAATCGTAGTAGTAAGACCATTAACAGAAAACGGCCTTAAATCAGATAACGTTGATCTGCCCATGAAGTCTGTTGCTTCTATTTGCAACCAGTATCTGTTAGGGACTGGATCATCAAAGGCTCTATGATTCCATGGACCAACAAAAAGATCTCCCCTGGAGGTATTATCCCCAATCATGTGCATGGGTCAAATACCAGATAGAGAAATCCAGGTCTTGAGTCATAGATCTTAGTCGTAATTGATGCAATTGGAGAAACAGAAAACACCAGGGCTCTAACTGCCGTAAGATAAAGGGACCATATCATGACATTCATATTCGTGATGGGATGAAGATATTGACGTGAACCGTGAGTCCAGGGGAAAAGTTGGCAAGATGATTGTCCTTTGGTGCCTGACTTGAAGTCAATGTCAACATACGAAACATGGCCTCTATCAATGGCCAAAATTCTCATGGCTCTGCTCCTCTTCCACTCACCCATCTCCCACTCCCAGAACTCTTTGCCCGCTGGGGCTTCAGTTGAACAGTTAACAGCACTATGAAAATACGGCCGATGTACATTAAGCTGGAAAAACTTCTGCAACGATAAAAAGTGATGACTCAACAGATGGCGCCTCTTCAAGTTTCTACCAAACCTAGAATGCAGATGCCCACATATATAAGCTGATATGGAATGATTGAGGAATATATCTTTTAGGCTCTTCCCGGAGTTTGAGGTCGCTGAGAATGAAAGAGGAAAATGCCCGAAGGAAATCTTGCTTAATAGTTCTTGTGATCTAGAGTTCCACTGTGAGAGGTGCGTATCCAGTTCTGCTAATAGTTGATCAATTGGATGAGCAAAGAGATTAGTCGGACCTCGTAAACCAACAGGCATTGTGCTATCAACTCCAACAAAGAGATGCTTCCGATCAGCAGTCTGGATGGAAATAAAAGGTGTAAAGCTTTTGAATTCACGCACACTTGAGGGCACGGTAGCATCTGTAATCAAGGCATGGGAATTGGGAACGTACAATTATAGTTGAACTCAATGTCAGGTAAACCTAGCACACAAGTTGAGTTAATGAATACACGATGACATATAGATATAAGGCAGCTCTGACACTGAAAAGTCTGAAAGTGAGAGGAATAATACCTGAAGAGTGACACTGTTGACATTCCGACTTCTGCCCAAGTGGCCACTGATGCTATACTTTGAAAAGAAATCAAGGAGCCGCCGAGCTGTGGGACGCCAAAGTTGTCGTCTGAGATCAAAGAAGAGGGTCTTGTCAAGTCGACTCCTTTTGATGACGTCTTCCATGACGTTGCGGTATTCCAGCCACTCGTCCTCATTTTGCTTCATTGTCAACAAATCCTTGCTTTTTCCATCTGATTAATAATTATATATGAAAATCCAAACATTAGTATGCACTCATCAAAACTATGCCTGTGAGCCTGTGACTGCGAGATTATTGTTATTATTCACTAAATATGTTTCATTTCATCCACCATCCAGCATCCATCATCCATCATCCATGTGATGACGTACGAAAACAGACCTGTGAGATCACCGGTGATGAAGACGAGAGAAGGGGTGATGAAGGAGAGGGCGGGCCCCACAAAATTATTGAAGTCGAGAGCTCTGTCGGGATGGTGGACGCTGAAATGGAGATCAGAGAGCTGAACCACCCACACAATTGAGTCGGGGCCCTTCACATCTACTATCCTCCTCAGTTCTTGTTGGCATCCTCCTTCGGATTCTTCAGACGTTGTTTCTGCTGCTGCATACAGATTGAGATTGAGATTGAGATAGAGAGGGAGGCAGTGGCAGAGCATTATTACCCTAAACACCATCATCAGATGCCACTCGACCCACCACCCACCACCCACCACCCATCTTCTTCATCGTAAATAAATAAATAATCTTTTGAATTTTTGAATGCTCCAGTTCCGCCCTTCCCAATTCACCAAATTCACCCAATTGCTTTCTGTTGTTGTGTCTTCTTCACTCTGCACTGCTGAGATTCAGAAACACCAACACAACAGACAGGTACACACCAGTCCGTCCTAAGCTCTGTAAAATACATAAATATATGGAGGGCATTTTAGTAAATGACGTTTATTTTTCTTTTGTATTGTGCAAGAAGAGTAAACCAGAGTAACAAACAAAATATAAAGAAGTTTAATTGTTCCAACAAACATAAACCAAGACCATGCCTAAAATATCCATAATATCCCGATATTTTCATCGAAATTTCTGTGTTTTTGGACTACCGATATTTTTTTGGACTATCGATATTTCCGATATCATCGATATTTTAGACCTTACTAAGTCACTCATGTATCTTACCATGCAATGTATAAAGTGTAAAATATTGTACTAATTCATTATATATAAATTATTATGGTGTGTTTAAACTTCTTTCATTAATTACTACATATTTTCTACATTTACAATGTTTGCCAGCTCGCTATATAATTAACTTAAATCAGTTATATCTATCATGCAATGAATTTCCTTCCAATTGTGTGATAAATTAATAGATAATTGACTAAATAAACATCCTGCAAAGTTTCAATAAAATTTTCTAAGTTTTTCTTACAATTTCCATGGTTTTTATTCAATTTTTATCGATATCGATAATATTCCGATATTTCCATCGAAATTTCCATGTTTTTGAACTACCGATATTTCCGATATTATCGATATTTTATACCTTGACCAAGACTTAAGCTGCTGCTGAGACGAAGAAGAAAAAGAAAAGCGGTCAGCCAGCCACTGCCACTGCCACTGCCTGCTAGCAATTTTTCATAAACTTGTAATTCTTCTGTCGTCATTTGTTGTCACTCTCTTCTTCTTCTTCCTTCCGACTACTAGCACTTGTTCTCTTCAAAGTTCAATGGCGAGTAATGTAATCTTCTTTATCTTTCTCTCTTCTTATTTTTGTAATTTTTATTATAATTGTTTCCTTACGGCTGGGTCTCTTCTGTTCATGCCAAAGGGCCCCTTTTTCTTTGGGGTTCTTTGTAATTTTAAATTGCATTTTCCCCAAGTAAAGGGTCGTTGGATGTCAGATTATAATGTATTTTGTTCATTTTCTCGGCTTCTTAAATAAATTCATTTGTAGTTTGCTTTCTTTTCTTCATTTCATTTGGTTAATGGATGATTTATATGAACAATTTGATCAAATATAGCAACACTCACTCACTCTGGTTTGAGTATCAAATTTGCCACGGAATCAATTAGGCTCCACCTCACTCTCCAAAATGGGTTTGTGTTTATGTTGCAGTTTTCGCACTCCCCACCATCATATTCGGAATGGTTTACATAACTACATAAGAATCAAACTCACCTAAACCACCTTAAACCACCTTAACAATCCTTAACCTTTGAGCGATCATCATCACTGTTCAAATTGAAGGCTTGTGTACTAACATTCTCATTTTCTCTTCTTTCCATCATTCTAGTTCATGGCCTCTCGAATGGGAACTGCACCAGCACTAGAGAATCAAATCCCTGAAAGATCATTTACAACTCCTGCAACTTGTCTGATCCACAACTGTTGCAGTGAACCAACCTTCAAGATCCAAACTTCAAACATTCGCATAAAGTCTGTGCCTTTCCCTTCCCCCCAAAGGAGGTATACGTATTTTTAGGTCACTAAAAATTTGTATTCTTTTATGCTATATCTGACGGAGCTTTTGCATTTTCTTTCTGCTTTGTTGTTGTTTACAGAGTAAAGTCAACTGCATTATATCTGTATATGAACCGATGACTTGACATTTCTCTTATTTCTATGAATACCTTAATAATTATTGGAATCCCTGAACCATTCTAAATAGCGTGAGTTGCGTGCATCCTTGGTGCATAGACTGCTTCTGTTGTTCTAGCATTCTTTCTTGGATTTCCTCCTTTTGCTCTGCTGTGTCCCTACCTATTTCCGAGCTCCAGAAAATTATTATGTGGAATGATGCCCAAATTTGCTGCAGATTAGCAACTTATTCCAAGATCCTACCTTCACTAAGAACTAGGGGCTTAAATGAATGGGAGAGGTTTGCTTCTCATCCTGTGGCCACTGACCATAGATGGAATGGACCTTGAATGGATCAAAATATAGATTCTGCTTAGGCCGTTTACAGAGAATGATTTCAGTCATTTTGCTCATTTTGTTGGCAGTCAACAGTTGATACAAACAGGCCTTTTCTTTCTGGTTTAGTTCGCAATATTATATATCCACGTCAGTCGTCAAATAAAAGTCCTGCGAACTGTATTTAGGAGTTATACCGATGCCTTCTTCTTTCTTGAGAATATGTTGATGCCCTTCTTGACATGCTTATTTTTGGTCTGCTGACACAGTTTTCAGTCAACAAGACAACGGTGGAGAATAGCCTTTGCCTTGGACACAGGTGGGGTTCCTGATAACGGTGGGCAAGAGGGCATCAATGGCAACAACTCTAATCTCAATGCCACCCGATTGGGTCGGATAGTGATTGCAGGTGGAAGACAACTATTGGAGAAGCTGAATTTAGCCAGGAAAAATGTTCCCATGAAAGTATTTCTTCTTCTTTTGGGTTTCTACACGGCAAATGCATTGGCTACAATCCTTGGGCAGACCGGGGATTGGGATGTTTTGGTTGCGGGTATAGTGGTTGCCGCCATTGAAGGTATTGGTATGCTTATGTATAGAAAGCCCCCCTCTCAATCAAGTGGGAGGCTCAAGTCTTTTGTCATGATGGTAAATTACTGGAAAGCTGGTGTGTGCTTAGGCCTCTTTGTGGATGCTTTTAAATTGGGTAGTTAAGGATGCTTCTACCCACCTCAAGTCTGGAAGATGGAGATTTAGTACTAAACTTGTGTTGTTAAATTTTAACACCCTTGATCCGTCAGTAGACTGTCCAATCCAGATCCACGTTTATCGTAAGATGACCAATCTTAACTAAATTTTTGCAAGTAAATGTTTGCCCTGTACATGCAGCTCTCAGTTTATTGTTTCCCGAAGTTTTTGCAGTAACTTAATGTACAAGGGCACTGTCTTGCTAAATGAATCCTACATAAACAAATTTCTCTCATCTTTGAATTTCTTGAATTGTGCCTCCGGAGGATGGGATCATAAGAAGTTTTCCCCCTAATGACCGCCAGTTTCGGTATCTTTGGAGTCGGGGGTGGTGGCGATGGCAACGGTAGTGGCGGGAATTGCATCAGAAGGGATGGTATAACTTCACCCCCATAGTGCACAGAATAATGGCTTAGCCTCTGAACTCTAGCATGCTACATTCTACACTCGTGCCAAGTGACAACCATACGAGCATTTGTATACAGGGTTGGCTAATTGAAACAAAACACAGCTAAACTCAAAATGAAATAAAATTATAAAACTAATCTGAACATATTCAATGTCCATTAGAATGCCAGGCCTATCCAAGGCTACGACAATTTTTCCCTTCCGATTCAAGCTCCTTGACATTGTCAACAACATGCTGAAGTTTCTTCGACAGGTCTTGCGTATGTTCCTCAATGTGATTAAATAGAAGATCAACTATTTCTCTAAGTGCAGCAGACCGCTTTCTCTCGAGGAACAGCTCGTTAGTTAACTCTGCAATCTTTGTCTTATCGTCCTACAAACACATGACAGAATGAAAAAGAAAAGCAGCATAAGATCAATGAAATTCAGGTCACAGTAACGCAGTACAAGATGTAATGTCAGATTCTAGGCCTGTTAACTAATGTAACTCTTATACAAAATCCTAAGAAATATGTTATTGAGCAACGTGTGCAGTCGTGCAGATATAGTAAGAGCTCTGTAGCCACCAAAAATCCCATTTAATTGACAAAATTAAGTTGCAGTACCCCGATATAAGATTGTTTCCGAGTCTAATATGAGTTAATATGCATGACGCAAAACAAAAAAATTGCTTAGAACGAATTGAAGTCAATAAAAACTGTGAAAGATCACTATAACTTACCGGTACTTGATCATCGACGAGTCCTTTTGCAGCTTTATTGGGAGTCAATGCATGAGTGTGCTCCTTAACGAACCATTTAACAACCCATTTCCCAACACTGAGTTTCTTGACGGACAGCATTGCCCTACAACCTACCCTAGTCTGAGTCCGAGGCTTTAGGGTCTTCTTGTCACGCCTGTCAGGCTTTCGGAAACCCTCTTTGTTGCATACCAATGTCCGCCCAATGACAGTTCCATCATGTTTGGATCGATACATATCGTTCATACGAGTAACGAAACCCATACGTGTGGCATAGGCATTATAAAATGCCAATGCACTTTCTTGTGAGTCGAATTCCTGACCCACATACGGCTCATGTGGTTGGACCAGACTTGATCCATCTTTACAAGAATTTCGAGTCCTTTGATCATCGTCATGATCCTGTCCAAAAAGATGACTCATATCTACAAGAGAAGTTCCTACAGATGCACCATCAGATTCACTACAATAAACAAATATCTACATCAAGTTGAGAATAAATTATAATCCACCGCAACATAAATTCAATTCATGGAACCCTAAGTATCCATTCCTGCTGCTAGTCTCCTAGACATGATCACTATCTGTGGAATTCCCAAATCCGAATTCATATATTATCTAATAATATCTAAGCAGATTTAATTTTAATTTTAAAGCATTGGGACGATGAAGCTGAAACAACACAGTTACACAATTTAAAAGAAACCAATTTCCATATTATTCCATGATTCTAACTAAGAAATACTAAGATTCCCAAGAATCAAATCACAATCGCACCCAGAAACTCAAGGGAAATTGCAAGACCCAATTGAATTCAATTGACAGAAAATCAACAAGGAACCCTAAGTAATTGAATTTCAAACTTACTGAATCATTGAAGTTTTCTACAGCTCGAAATGCTGGCACAGTGGCAGTGGCCGCTCGGATGCACACAGACAGCAACCGTGTTTGTTTAAAGCGCCAAGCTCAGACCCTGCGCGATACGGAACTGGAAGAGGTTTTCCGGAATTTCAATATTCATAGAAATAAAAAAAATAAAAAGAAGTTCCAGACTAATGTTTTTATTTTATTTTTAACAATTGATAT